GCATACCTGACTGGCAAACAGTAGTAGAAGTCAGAAATCTAACTCCTGAGGTCTCCATCTGCCACCACTGGGATGGTGAGGATCTTGGACTTTCACTTGTTAATGAGGACACTAGAACCAGCTGTCCTGTACTTTCATCTTCCTGCTTGCTTCTTGACACCAGAACAAAGGGAGTACCACCCCATCTATGGTCACTTGGTACCAGAATGAGAGCAGATGTCCTCACTGGAGGACTGAATTCCTTCAGAAGCAGAATAATTTTCAGTTGGAACACTTCATGATTTTGCATATAGAAGCAATACTCTTTCACATCTAGTCAACAAATCCTGTCCATTCCATCTCCTAGCTTCCTCAAAATCAATCTTCCCTCCCTGCCTCCTCTGCCTTGAGTCACTAGAGCACTGCAGTGGGCTCTGGGCTGGTTTCTCCCACAATCAGGATTTCTGTCTCATCCTTCACATTGTGGGGAAAATCTACTTCTCACCAGACCAATGTCATTGGTATCAGAGCCTTGAAATAACATGCTCAAAGAAGAACTTAACCATGCCACATACCTGGTAGGTGAAGCCCAAACAGAGCCATTTCTTACTTCTAGCTTGGTCCATAATTTTCTTACCAGTTGCTTTTTGTTTTCATGGCTCTTGTTTTAGTTAAGATGAAAGAATGACTGCGACTGATACCATTTAGATATCAAGGTTGGCAGCAGAGGGAAAGGAAGTTAAAGGGAATACGTGAACTGCAAGACTAAAATCATCCCATGACCATTTAGTCACCTTAGTTAACACTGGTGTGGTACCCACTTTTTCTCTCTTCCTTCTCCCTTTTTGAGGATGGTATTGAAAGTGAAGTGGTTGTCCTGGCCAGTTTGGCTCAGCGGTCAGAACATTGGCCCTTGGACCAGAAGGTCTCCGGTTCAATTCCTGCTCAAGGGCATGTTGCCTGGATTGCAGATTCAATCCCAGACCAGGGCTGTGTGGGAGGCAACCAGTTGATGTGTCTCTCTTACATTGATGTTGCTCTCTCTCTCTTTCCTTCTCTCCCTTCTACTCTATCATAGGTGAGGATTAACAACAACAACAACAACAACAAAAAGTGAAGTGGTCAAGGTACTTCTTACTCAAATCATCTTGAGTCTTTCTTCCTTATACTTCCTAGCCACCATCTTCACCATTTGAAGAGGGGGATTCTTTGCACTATAAGTCACAGGAGGTAGTTGGAAAACTGCACTTGACTTCTAGATGTTTGAAGAAGCATTTTGGTTCTTGCTTTATAACCATAATCACCATCACCATACCTCACTATAATTTCCCCACTAAAACACCATCCTACCACCATTGACAACCAAGTCAGCTGCATATATTTTTATAAGCAGCCTTAAATTATTTTCAAGACAAGGCAAAGGTATATGTTAATCAAATTAGAATTCAGGTGACCATTTGTCCCAGTTTGCCTAGGACAGTCCCAGTTTATGCTAGCTCTGCATAATTTTTAAAAGAGCTCCTGCTTTCACTTTACAAAGACAAAAAAAGTTCCAGTTTGGAGGATAAATTTTATGTTCACCCTAGTTAAAAACACACCTTGATTTTCCAATAAAGTGCTATCCAGGTGATGTGCTTTTGCCCACACCAATGCACTTTACTTGCATTAAAAACTGCAAAATAGGCCCTGGCCAGTTTGGCTCAGTGGTTGGAGCATAGGCCTGAGGACCAGAGAGTCCCGGATTCAGTTCACACTAGGGCACGTACCAAAAAAACAAAACAAAACAAAAAAAAACCTGCAAAATAGAAAGAGGAACATTTTATCTCTATTAATTAAATAAAATAATCAAGACTTCAAGTAATAAAGCAATAACATAATCATTGTCACAAACTCAGTGACATAATCAGGGCCAGAACCCAGGACTTCTGACTTCAAGTCCAATACTGTTCAGCTTTGGCCAATTTGTGCAAATAACCGAGGCAAAGGTAACCTCACTCTCCTGTTTGGTTATCTGCTTGTGCTTGGACCTAGAACAGTTTATTTTTTATTATTATTATTATTATTATTATTATTTATTTATTTATTTATTTATTTATTTTTAATCCTCACCTGAGGACATTTTTCCATATTTTGTTCAGATAGAGTCAGAGGGAGAGAGAGAGAGAGAGAGAGAAACATCGACGTGAAAGGGACACATCGAGTGGCTGCCTCCCGCACGACCCCAAACAGGGCTGGGGACAAACTGCAACCGAGGCACGTGCCCCTAGCTTCAATGCAGTCTGAAGCTGTCCACTGAGTATACTGGCTCTGGGGCAAGGTCAGCCATGGTCTGTGTTCTACCCAGGGCCACCAGGCATAAGCTACAAAGTGATCTGCCAATGGCTGCTTCTTGTGCTGGGCTTGGAGGTGCACAGGAAAAGCAAAGTTGTAAACCAAGGCTGGCTGCTTCTAGTGCCAGGCCTGGGGCCACTTAACAAGAGGTATGGGGCTTGCTGAGACCAGATGCTGCTTGTTTGAGAGATTAGGAACATCTGAAGCAGGAGCCAAGACAGGCCAATCCTATGCTAAAGCCACTGGAAACAGCTTTTGTGGGCACAGAAGTTGGGTGGGGTAGGGCCTCAGGGAATCACCAGGGTGGGGCAAACAGTTTAAGCCTGGTTGCTGGAGTCCCAGATATGGTGGCTGTCTGCCGCCCCAGGGAAGGGCTCACCAAAGGAACAATGGCCTCCGCCAACAGATCTGTTCAGGAGAAAGCTGCCCCTCCAGCTCTTGTCCCAATGCTAAACAACTCAGTGCTTCCTCATATGTTTCTAGTGCCTTTCAAGGTGCCTCCCCAATGCTGGAGCCCAGAAGGAGCAAGTCTGAGTAAGTCTGTGGTTGGGCCCTTTAAGAGGAGCTCCCTGGGGCTCCAGCAGCCTGTTCCAGCTGGTTTTTAAGGCCAGAAGTTATGGGTACTTCTCTTCCTGGCACTGGAACCCTGAGCTGGGAGGCCTGGTGTGGGACAGGGACCCCTCACCCCTCAGGGAGGATCTTCACAGCCAAGGTGCCCCTCCTAGGGATTTTTATCTCCACACATGGGAGTGGGACCAGCCTATCCACACCTCTGCCCCTCCTAAGTCTCCATGTGACTTCTTTTTTAATTTTGTAGTTGTAAGACTTCCATTCAGCTCAATTTCAGGCATTTCTGAATAATGGTTGTTCTGTAGTTTAGTTGTAATTCTGATGTGGTTATGGGAGGAGGTGAGTACCATGGTTACCTAAGCCACCATCTTGACGGGAAGCATGACCTTTAACATTTAAAGCAAGCAAAGGGACGAAAGAAGAATTACATAAAGAGGCTATTAGTGAATCCTGGAGCCAAATGACATATATCTTTGATTTCACTGGTGTGATGACTTCAGAATATCGGAATCCTACATTTAATCAAATTAGGATGTCTCTATTAAAAACAAAAAAAGGGAGTCTTCGCGGCGGAGAGTCGCCGTGGTTTCCTGCTTCAACAGTGCTTGGACGGAACCGGCGCTCAACCCATCCTCCCCAGTCACCTGATCCAGCCTTCGGCCACCTCCTCACAGTGCCTCGGACATCCCCAAGGCCCCAGCTCCAGCGCCAGGCAGCCGCCTCTCCTTAGCCACCCACCATGACGTCCACCGCGTCCACCTCGCAGGTAGGCCAGAACTACCATCAGGACTCAGAGGCTGCCATCAACCACCATATCAACCTGGAGCTCTACGCTTCCTACGTCTACCTGTCTGTGTCTTGCTACTTTGACTGCGATGATGTGGCTTTGAAGAACTTTGCCAAATATTTTCTTCACCAATCTCATGAAGAGAGGGAACATGCTGAGAAACTGATGAAGCTGCAGAACCAACGAGGTGGCCGAATCTTCCTCCAAGATATCAAGAAACCAGATCGTGAGGACTGGGAGAATGGGCTGAATGCGATGGTGTGCATTACACTTGGAAAACAGTATAAATCAGTCACTACTGGATTTGCACAAACTGGCCACTAACAAAAATGACCCTCACTTGTGTGTCTTCCTTGAAACTTACTACCTGAATGAGCAGGTGAAATCCATCAAAGAACTGGGTGAACACTAACCAACTTGCGCAGATTGGGGGCCCCTGAAACTGGCATGGCAGAGTATCTCTTTGACAAGCACACCCTGGGAGACAGTGACAGAGCTAAGCCTTAGGCTGGCTTCCCATAGCCATGGGGGTGACTTCCCTGGTCACCAAAGCAGTACGTGCATGTTGTAGTTACCTTTACCTTTTCTATAACTTGTACCAAATCATCCACTTACAGCTTTTCATTTGTACCATTCCTTCACATAAAGTAATTTGGCACCCCCCCAAAATAAAATTTAAAAAAAAAAGGAAAGAAGGACCAATGAGAATGCCTACTGTTACAAAGAACATATAAACGTGCTCCACCCCAGTCGTATAGATATGTTTTCCCAATAGTTATGTGCTAAACGCCTCTTCCCCATTTTCAAAACCTATAACCTGTAAAATTCTACCCTCCTTGGGTAAATGATAATGACATAATGAGGAAAATCCTTGATCCTACAAAAACAAGCACAGTGGGTGGCAAGTTCTCCAGGGTACCCAGAGGTGAATACCGCGCCACATCAATAAAAGAAAAAAAAAGTACATCCTCCCAACCTCTCTAGGTCCTGCTCCAAGAGAAGGCCGTAGGACCTCTTTGCAATGACAGAAAGGGGTCCCTTATGCCTTGGGAAAGTTGACTCCAAACCTCTGGCCAGTGTAGCCAGACCGCAGCAGAGGGGTGGACGCCTTCGGGCAGCTGTGGCCACCTGAGCCTCCCCAGAGAGTTGGCCGACCTCCAGCTGCGCCGTAAAGTCGGGAGCTGAAGGTAGCAAAGCAGCAGAGGACAAACCCCATCCCCCGGTGGGGGGGGGGGGGTAGAGGAGGGAGACCGCGCGCGCAGGCGCACTGCCGCTGCCGCGGGCCGGAAGAGCTTGGCGGTGGAGCCTCGGCTGCCAGCGCCGGTCGCCGCGACGGCCGCGGGAAGAGTGCCGGCGGCGCAATGCGGCCCCTGGACGACCCTGGGGCCGCGGAGCTGCAGGAGCCCAGGCTTCCACTGACAGACATCACGCCGCCGGCCGCGAGCGAGGAGCTGGCAGCCGCCGAGGCAGTGGAAACCCCCGGCCCCGGCTCGTGCTGGCTTTGCCGCTCCTCGCCGTGCGGCTCGCGCGCGCAGCCCGGTGAGTACGGGGTGCGGACCGTGGCGCCGGTCTCGCCCTTGGGGGACTAGGCAGGCGCTAGCGCGAGGATCCTCGCAACCGCGGGCCCATAACGGACCGCGACCCCTACCCTACCCTGTCCAGAGCTCCAGAAAACCCTGGAGTTGTCACCTGGGGGCAGCAAAGCAGAAATCCTCTGTACCCGCCGGCGCGAAGATCGGAGAAAGTTTCGGACTGTATTTGGAACCCTTTGGGGATTCTAAAACGGTTCCTATAATTTAAGTGTTGCGTGCAAGACCGTAGAGTCAGATTGCGGTTTGGCGCTCCCGGCCGAGGTTGGTTGGTCGGCGAGAAAGGCCATTGCACAGCCGGCCGTGGCTGGGAGGAAGCTAACCGGGAAAACTGATCTCGATGGTAAACCGAGTAACCCAAAGAGGAAGTTGAAAACAGTCGAGTCTAAAAAATGTCCCAGAGTCTTTAGAACCTTGGGAAAGTAGAGTTGAGTGGGTCACTGGTTCTTGACCTTTCTGGGTTAGGAGGACTTTTTAGCAACTGATGCACAAGAAGGCAGAGGCACAATCTTACTGATGTGATTAAGGGGTTCACGGACTCGTCCCTAAAGCCAAGGACCCGGTGTGAAAAACCCTTGATCTTGTTTAGCGTCTTACTTTGACAAATGAGGAAAGTGAGGCCCAGGAAGGTGAGAGTTGGGCTTTTTTGTTTCTTTTGTTTTACCGAAGATCTGGTGTGTGTCAGACGGAGCACAGATCCCTGCAGCACCAGCCTGCCAGAAACCCAGCCTAGGGCCCTCTCTACTAGCCTCAAGCACATTTCTCCTTGAACTCCACCACCCACTTGGAGCAGCTTCCTGGAAGAAGAGGGATATAGGCAGATGTCCTTTCAAGACAAAGTTACACAGCCTGCACCACCTCATCTGGGTCACTTTCCTCTAAGTGTGACTCGGGATTTCTTTGCCTCTTACCCCACCCCAGCTTCCCTTCTCCCTGTATGCACCTTTTCCAATTTAGAGATAAACCCCAGGAAAATGATTCTTGCTCCATTTTGTCCTAAATGCTAACAAATGATCAGAATTCTAATAATTTATGCATGGACTAGAGCCTCTAGAGCAGGAGTTACCCCAGGCTGGGTTGACCAGATGTACAGCCCTTGAAGAGGGCCAGTTTCTCACCTTGTTACTCTATGGCTAAATGTCTTTCTGGTGGAATGCTGAGTCAGTCATTGCAAACTCTTAAACGTTTCCCGTTTGGGAACTGAAGAGGAATATTGTTCACTCAGTCAGCACATGGGAAAATGACAAACCAACATAAGTGATTGCATTTAAGAATCTTGTGGGGTCTTATAACTTCAAAGAAAGTTGCTAACAATAAGCCTTAGTAATAGTTATTAAAAGGTGACCAGATGATATTCCAAAAACGGGATTCCCACACAAACACTTTAAATCCCAGTACTGTTGTCACTGAACTTTGTGACATGTCATTTTAGCCTCTTGAATCAATTGGTTATCTCAACAAAGCTCATTATCAAGTTCAGGTTGAAACTGTTACCCATTTTTCTTACATTCTTGGATAACCTTCACAGACAGCATACAGCTACTGTAAGACATTTATTTTCTTGAGGGACAGTGTGGATCTTAGACTGAAGCAAGGAGAAGTTGTCTTAGGTCTGTGCATTACATCCCCCTGGAAAGAAAGAATTCTTTAGTGTGGTAGTGATTCTCAAACCAGCAAAGCTTTTTACAGTTTACAGAGATCCTATTTAAATGAGTCTAGGGCAGGGCTTAGGAATTAAAGTTTTAAAAGTTACTAGTTGGTTCTAATTCTCAACCAGGTTACGAATCACCAGTTTAAAGCAAAGATTAGAGAAACTGAGCAACTTTTCTGTTTTCTTCTAACTCAGGAAATTGCAGTATGGCCAGTTAGTTTGAATTATTTAGAGTTACCAAATTTTAGATATGCCTGTAATGGGATATGAACATGGAAGCTTATTACATATGCAAATGCCTCTTGATTATGCTACTCTCTTATTCATCTCCATTGACAGAGAGAAATGAAATTATTATTCAGTAACAGACTGAGGATTGCCTGTGTAGAGCCAGTTTTCTCACCCCCATTAACAAATAATAAGTTCAGCTAAACCTTGTAACAACTGTCCTGTCCCGGTCAGGAAGCATGGGCCTCAAGTGTTTACAGGCAATAAAATATATGTATATGTGTTTTTCAGGAAAAGATAATCAGAGCCAGGGGTGTGGATTTAAGTTTTCAAAGAGTTAAAATAGCATGTTAAAATATTCCTGGAGATAAAAAACAAAAAATAAAAGAAAAACAAAATAAAAAAATATTCCTGGAGAAAAAAGTGAGTTTAGGAGGAGATCCTTTAAATACAGACTAGAGAAATGTTTTTTGTCCTTGATCTCATTCTGTTCTATCTGAGGGTGTAGGTTCTATGTATGGCTTGAGTTTCTTTTTTTAAAAAAAAACAAAACTATTTTATTTGGACTTGAATTCTGAAATTTCAGAAGCTAAGTTCTAAGGCTGACCACAGCCAAAGCATGTATTTAGTGGTGCTTAACTTAGAAGTCTTCTAAAGCTTCCTTCTCATGGGCTGAGTTGGTATGTGCAATTTGTTTCTGCAGTATCTGAGCACATAATTACTGAACAGAATGTGGAGGATTCTGGCAATTACAACATATAACCTGTAACATGACAACTGCTAGCTCAATATCCTTCTCTTCAGCTGTGTACCTACCACAGGAAGAGGTTGAAGCCTCTGACCAGAATGGCATCTTTTACTACAAAGGTCAGGCTATAGAAAGCCACCAGAAAGACTGTGCACCATCACACTTTGGTCCCAATTTGCAAAATGTCACTTGTGGGCAAAGATATCTAGCTAACACTAGAATATTGAAATATATTACTTGGTGTTTGCTTTTGTAAGGGAAGGACATTGAACACACACACACACACACATCATTGTGCAGTACTGTTCTATAGTGGAGTAACAACATTATAAATTCCTAGATAGGAACGATAATCCTGGTTTTACTACAAATTGCATGTGTCTACACATCCTTTAGCTCTGTTGTGCTCTTAGCAAAAGAGAGCCCGTAATGTTTACTTCTTATTCTCTCCTTTTTTGTGTGTTAGTTAAAAACAAAAATAAAGAAGAAGAATATATATTCTTCAGCATGTGATCTTCTAGGAAGGTCTCTGCTCACCCTACTTCATTTTGCTCTCCTTTGACTTCCAGGGGGCAAGATTGAAAGCAGCTTCTACTCCCATTTTAGCAACTAAGACAGAGGAAGTAGCTAAACAAAAGTTTAATGCTCATCCAGCCTGGAGAAAGCACACATTTCCTGGTTCAGATCAAGCTAGGAAGTTGGTAATAGATGGCAATTCTAATTTTAAAATATATTTAAAAAGTACTTTGGGCCCTGGCCGGCTGGTTCAGTTGGTTGGAGTATCGTCCTGTACACGAAAAGGTTGCATGTTCGATTTCTGGTCAGGGCACATAACTAGGTTGGGGGTTCAATCCCTGGTCAGGGCATGTATGGGAGGCAACAGAACGATCTCGATCTCTCTCTCTCTCTCTCAAATCAGTAAATATATCTTTGAGTGAGGATGAAAAAAAGCAGTTTGGGGTCAGAAGGGTAGATAGTCCAGCCCCTGCCCTCAAATAATTTATGCTCTAAATAAAAGATAAGTTGTAAACCATGAAAAGTTAAATTTGACTGCCCTGGCTGGTTTCGCTCAGCGGTTAGAGTGTCGGCCTGTGGACCAGCAAGTCCCGAGTTCGGTTCCCGATAAGGGCATGTACCTCGGTTGCGGTTTGTCCCTGGCTCCGGTTGGCATTGTGTGGGTGGCAGCCAGTCAATGTGTCTCTCTCACATCAGTGTTTCTCTGTCTCTCTTCCCCCCTCTCTCCCTCCTGCTCTATCTGAAGATAAATGCAAAAATGTCCTTGGGTGAGGATAAAAAGTTAAATTTGACTAATGGTTCAAAATAACAAAACAGCCCTGGCCGATTTGGCTCAGCAGTTAAGAGTGTCGGCCTGCGGTCCGGAGAGACCCAGGTTCGGTTCCCGCTAGGGGCATATACCTCAGTTGCAGTTTGTCCCCGGCCCTGGTTGGGTCGTGTGTGTGGCAACCACTCAATGTGTCCCTTTCACTTCGATGTTTCTCTCTCTCTCTCTCTCCCTCCCACTCTATCTGAACAAAATATCAAAAAATGTCCTCGGGTGAGGATTAAAAAAACAAACAAACAAAATAACAAAAACAGCCTTCCTAGATCATGCTGTTGCTAGTGGTTTTACACACTGCATATTTCCATGAAATTCTTTCTATTCTTTCATTCAGCAAATATTTATTCAGAGTTTTCCATGTGCCAGGCATGAACAAGACAGCTGAGATCTCCTCAGCCCTGGAGGAGCTCACAGATAATCAACAAATAGCCATAGAACACAGTTATAAACTGTTTTCCAGGAAAGAACACTCTTCATAAAGCCCAGTTCACCAGTGAGATGACATAAAACATCATTTGGAAGCATTTTTCTCTAGCCATCTTGACAAACATTTCTTAAAGATTTTTTCTACTGTCTTGACAAGCATTTTACTTCTTTTTGACTTGTAGATAAGGGATGATTCTTCAGTGAGCTAAAGGAAATCTATTTTATAGGGTGAAATTGCATTTAAAAAACACAGGTTTAAATTGTTTCCTTCATCTATGGTTCTTCATTTTTGGTGGGAAAAAATGTTTCAGATCCAAAAAATGGATATGCCTAGGAGATAATATTTGCAGCTTATTAGCCATTAACTCTGTCCCATTTTTCTCAATTTCTAAGTGAAAATGATAAAACATACAGTTGGAAGTAAGGACTAACCAGAATTTAATCTTTTTCAGAAGCCAAGAAGAAAGCACCCTGTCCTGGACTTGGCTTGTTTTACACATTATTGTCTGCCTTCCTTTTCTCAGTGGGCTCTTTATTTGTTAAAAAAGTACAAGACATCCATGCTGTAGAAATTAGTGCATTCCGATGTGTGTTCCAAATGTTAGTCGTTATCCCTTGCTTAATATACAGAAAGTAAGTATTTCTTAATTGCAAAGTAGATGATATTAATAAATGGTTGTAAATCTTTTCACCTGCTCAAATTATTTACTCTATAGTATCTGCTTTATCCCTCTTATGGATTTACTAGTCCCTACACACTTTGGCCCTGATTAATGAAAAATCACAAGAAACTCACCTAAATAAGATGCTCATAATCACAAATGACATGCCTAACAAAGGAGGAGAAAGAGAGTCAGTTATTCTCCACCCTGATTTTGAGAACAAAACTTTCCTTGTATAATTTCACCCATCTTGTACCACCTTCCCTTCTTTGTTTTGGCATAACGAGTATTTGGAAGAAAAAGTAAACAAGAGGAAGTGGTAGTGTCTCCTAGCCAGAGGTTTAAGTAGAACAGGTTGCTGTGTTACCAGAGTAGACAGAAGGCTACAGTAATAATATTTAGGTCTTACACCCTAGGGTGCTGTGGGAAAGGGAAAAGGTAATCTTGAGGAGGGCCTTTTTAACTTTCCTGTTCAGTGACCTCATCTGTAAACTGAAGGGAATGATATTCTTTGTCCTCTACCCTGCCTTATGGTTACAAGGATCAAATGAAGTTTATTATAGGTCAGAGCACTTTATATAGAATGTAGCAGTATATGAAAACTGTGTGTTTCCCATCCTTATTGATCTCTCTTCACCCAGCCCCCCTTCCCCTTTGATATGGAATCCTTGCCACAGATACACCCTCTCCAGGTTAAAATTATGCCTCCCCCACACTATTATAATCTCTACACACCCCTGTGTTCTTTGAACCCTGGGAAGAGAGACCAGTTGGGTTCCTGGTGGCTGCCTGGCTCTTTCTCTCTTTGGGCAAAGATATTTAAATCCCCAATTGAAAGCTTCAGTCACCTCCCACCAAAGTCTCCTTATATCTATAATACTGTGCATATTCACTTAGAATTGTTTCACTCCATATACTGAGGATTCGGTGAAAATCTGCTAAGATCAATATTCCTGTGTAAGTGTGGACAAGTCATAATATTTTAGGAAATGATGGTAAGGCTTCAGGAATTTCTAAGTATGGCAGAAAACCATTGATTCCAACAATCATCTTCCCCATTTTGGAATAAAAGTATTGCCAGGGGAAGGCACTAGAAGGATTTTCTTAAATCCTTGGTGATAATTTTTTTTGACTCATTTTATGTTTCACTATTATGGAAGAGTCATAGCTTCTCAGAGTATGGACCACATTTTTATTTCTAACTCCAGAGACCCAGGGTCCTCATGTCAGGCCTAGATGCTGCCCTAAAGATGTCCAGCCCTGACACAGATCACCTACCCAGGAACTTACACAGCACTCTGCTTAGTAAATAGTTAATTGAAAAAGCGTTGAGTAGCAGATATTATACTTATCTGAATGCTACAGGTTCTTCAGTGTGTGTTAACTTTTTTTCTAATTACAGTAGTGAAAAGTTGCCTCACATTCAATGGCAAACACAAAATTTAGCATTGCTTCTGCTTTTATAGAAAAACTCAAGAATGCCCACTATCCAGGACCAAGTTTTTTACATGGGCCAGCTAAATCTTGTATTTATTATAAAAATAACACTTTCATATATTTAGTAGAAACTTTGGGGAAAATTAATATGAAGAAGGAAAATTACCTATACTAGAATAAGATCTAATCACAATAAACATTTTAGTATATTTTCCTTTGTTTTTTTGCAAGCATATATATACATGTAGAAAATATCTAACACAAAAAAAGAAAAAAAATATATATATTTACTGAATTATAGTGATACTGTTTATGTAGTTCTCTTGTATTATTTTTGTTTATACTGTGATACTTTAATGTCATTAGTTAGAAAACATTTTCTAAAGGGATATAATAGGTGTTGGACAGTATCATATTTAATTGCTAGTCCCTTATTTCTTGATAATTAAGACTTCTAAAATAATATTTTATTAAAAATTATAATTTAAAAACAAATACGAAGTTTGTTTAATATGCATTTCTTCATTTGAATTTACAGAAGTGGGTTTATAGGCCCAAAAGATCAACGAATCTTCCTCGTTCTCAGAGGCACCCTCGGTTCTATTGCCATGATCCTTTTATACTACGCTTTCCAGACAACATCCCTCGCTGATGCCACTGTGATCTCCTTTAGCTGTCCAGTGTTTACGTCTATATTTGCTTGCATATTTCTCAAGGAAAAATATGGCCTTTGGGATGCTCTCTTCACCGCATTCACCATCATCGGAGTGATCTTCATCGTGAGGCCACCGTTTTTGTTTGGTTCCAACGCTTCAAGGATGAGTGAAAGCTATTCGGATCACCTGAAGGGCACCTTTGCATCAGTTGGACATGCTGTGTTTGCTGCCTTGACTCTAGTTATCCTTAGAAAAATGGGGAAATCTGTGGATTACTTTTTGACCATTTGGTATTATGTAGTGGTTGGCCTCATGGTGAGCACCATCATCCTCTTTATATTAGGAGAGTGGAGTCTGCCATACTGTGGGTTGGACAGGCTCTTTCTCATGCTAATAGGGCTGTTTGGTTTGGGAGGTCAGGTGTTTCTCACAAAGGCCATTCAAATAGAAAAAGCAGGGCTAGTAGCACTAATGAGGACTATGGATGTGGTTTTTGCTTTTATCTTTCAGATTATTTTCCTCAATGATGTACCAACGTGGTGGACGGTGGGTGGTGCACTCTTTGTAGTAGCGAGTAGTACTGGAGCAGCCATTCGTAAATGGTGCCAGAGTTCCAAATGAAGCATCATTTCAGAAATGTGTATTTTTTTACAAACACACTATCACCCAGTTCAGACATACCACACATGCACACACTTGGAAAATCTGTGTTTACTTAATTGATTATATTTAATAAATTTCATAGCTAAAATACCATTTTTGAATATGGTATGTCTGTCTTTTTTTTTTTAAATCCTCACCTGAGGATATATTTATTATTTTAGAGAGGAAGGGAGAGAGAGAAACATCGATTAGTTGCCTCCTGTTGGTGCCACAACTGGGAATCATACCCGTAACCTAGGTATGTGCCCTGACCGGGAATTGAACCCACAACCTTTTTGTGTAGGGGATGATGCTCCAACCAGCTGAGGCTAGGGCTGAATATGGTGTGTCTTTAGTTAGTCAATTTGGTCTGTCAATTATTTTGGTTTTGGTTTTGGTTTGTTTTCTATTGGGGTGGCTTGGTAAGAGGACAGCTCATTAGTTAAAGAAACACTGCAAAAATTGTTATGACTCTAGTATAAATGTATGTACATTTTTAAAGTGTATTTTTGGTAATGATGGAATATAGGTTAGGAGGAAATTTTTGATGTTCTTTTAGCAGTGTAGAGGCTAAGAAACTTACTGGTAACAATGCTGCTATGATTAGTGTTATGTTGAAAATTCATTTGAAACGTAATTCCATTTAGGAGGCCAAAGCTGGAACTTGGTATAGGTGCCTACTTAATGGTGTTAATAATACAAATAAATTAGCCTTATTTTCAAGGCTTTTAAAGATTATCATTCTTTTAACCCATATCTGTGCCTTTTCGTTTTAATGCCAGAATTTTTATATGTAAACTTTTTGAAAAGTCTTTAAATCACCAAATTTGACCGGTAGTTTCTCTTTTAGTTGCACTAGCAACTGTAATTATCATTCTATAATTTTAATTGTCTTCTGATTTTTTGTTTTTGAAACCACACTGAGTGTTTTTAAATCACAAGAGAGAAATCTTGGCATGGCCAACGTGCACATTTCCATCCTAAAGTGTTTTCCTCGTTAGAAATGTGATTTTCTATAAATTCCCTTTGAATTTATAGTGTGATGCCAAATAAAATTTCCTCAGGATTTTATTAGATTGAACCATTTGAAATTACTAAGATTTTACCTTTTTAACTTACAAAAACCATAGTTTCTTATGGTTCACCCTAAATAGATACCTCCCTTACTCTCTAAGCCACATACTTAGAGGACTTCAGAATATATATTTTTAAAACAACTTTTTATAAAGTGCAGTAATCCTATTAAACTTATTTTTATGGTCTTTTTGCCTTATGGAATTATATGTAATAATGCTTCATATTATATGTTACATGTAAAGACCTGTGAATTCCATGGTTGGTTTACTTTTGTAGTTTCTTGAATAGAAAAAAAAAAAAAATCACTGTTAAATTCTAGTATATCAGTATGATATTAAATGTCAGTGTTGCACCATGATATTAACATCATGAATTCAAATGACAAATTTTATATATGGACTTCATCACACCAATATTCTGCTGTTACAGAGAGAATCGAATATTTAGGAAAGCTTGGGAATTTAATCAGAAAGGGGGAATACATGCAAAGGATTTTTTGTCACAATGAACCCTTTGTTGCTGAAGCTATAATGGTCTCCAACTCTTTGTCAGACCTAACATCTATTATTTTAAACCTGCAGATTTGAAAGATTATAGGTTCTTTCCTACCCTTTCATCACAGTTCTTCCAAAGTAAGAAGGATCTTGGCTTCTCAGGTTTATGCCTTAGTAAGAAAGGATCTTCTCCAATAGTTCCAAGAGGGAATTTTTGGCTCACTGATTGTTCCAAATGTTCCCCTAGAAAATCCTAAATGAAATCTATTTAGGGGAGTCACACTATCATAACTTTAGCTTAATTCACAATATTGGCATTTAGACCTGCAAAAGCATAATTTTGCAAGTATCTTAGATAATTATAGAATCAGAGCATATCTTAGATAATTATAGAATCAGAGCTCAAGGGTTAGAAATCCTCTCGTAGGAGCCACACTACATAGATAGGGATGTTAAGGAGGGGACCTGCCCGAGATGGGTTTCCATGGCCTTACCCCCCCCCCAACCCTTTAGTTCCATGATAAAGTATGAAACGTAAACCACTGCTTGACCTACCTAAGGTAAATGAACTCTCAGGGACCCTCTCTGGGTTCTTGACCTTGCACAATAAAATAACCTATGGGGCCTTGAAAGTCAAATCCCTTTGGTCCTGGAAACTAGAGACGTTTTATGTCAACAGTGTGGTTTAAGTACTTGAATATCACACTATATGACCAAGGTTGGAGAAAATGTTTCTTCTCCCAACTTTTACAGTGTGATTCTTAAACACTTTTATAATGTCCAAGGTATAATAATTATGGGTGTATATTTTTCTGCAAAGACTGTAGTTTCTCATCTTGAAAAGGGAAATACTGTCATAAATTGTTTTTATTTTATAAGTACTAATAAAATAATATGAAAGAGAGCTATATTTTGGGTTTTGTGATTATAGCAAATGTACTAGCTAATAAAACTTTTTTTCTTTTCCATCCATGTGCTTCAAAATTCATTTTAGAAAGGAGATTGTCCTCTAGCTGTGCTGTACTCTCATGTTTCAAACTGCTTGTCCCTCTGATACTATCCCATTAAATCTAATATCTCTAGATAATGGTTTTCATCTTCTGTTCCAGTGAGAACTTCATTGTTCTAGACCCCCCACCCCCACCCCTCCCCCAAGCATGGAGCAGCTTTGAACTCTATTTCTGTTCCCATAGCTAATTTGTTACTAAATCGTGGAATCTCTTAATGTTATGTGGATTCATTCTTGGCCATTTCCACTGGTACTATCTTAGTCCAAGATTTAGCACTCCACAACTGAGTGACTACAACCGTATCTAATTGGGTTACCCATTTCTAGATTCTTTTTCCTCCTCAGATCCTTGTCACACTGCCATACTAATCTTCCAAAAGCCCTGCTTTCATTGTTACTCTGGTTCTCATGAAACTGCAAAAATGCCTTATTACACACCACATCACAGCCTACTGATTCATCTGGCCCTATTCCCACTTTTCAAACTTGATTTCCCATGTCCCAACACAAATTTGATACTTGGATGAATCTTCCCATCCACTCCCACATTTGCCAAGAGATTCCTTTTTCTATGTTTCTCCTGCTTTCTTGGCCTCCTCTTCCCCGCCCTCTAAAGCCTCAGCCTCTAATAGCTCAACTTGAGCTTTTGTTTCTTCCACTATGTCCAGCTTCTTCCTCCCACACTAGTCCACATTAGAAGAGTGGATAAAGCACTGGATTAGGAATCTGATGATCTGAGTGTGGTTTTAACCACTGCCCAGCTGGGCAAGTCACTTAGTATCCCTGAACCTGTTTTCCTTGTTTGCTTCATTTGTGAAATAGAATAATATTACTTGCCCAACCTATGTTACATATGAGCGCCATAGAAAAGACTTGTAGACCATAAAGAAGAACAGAAACACTAAGTATTGAACTGTGGTTAATACTGTAGAGTTGAGCATTCACTCTCTCTTCAACATGATGTCTAGATGCCAAGGTCCTTACTTCTGAGTAGTCTCACCAGGAACTGTAAGAACAGTCTTCCGGATTACAAACTTCATTTGGCTCTCCCCTGCTAGCACAGAATTTCACTGCTGGGCAGTTCTCATTTCCTGGCTGGTCTGCTCCTGTGGGGCTGCCAAGAGTCATCGGCCTTTTTATCTTATGCGTAGGGACTGCCACCTTTCCAGTTTGGGCTTTAGCTCTGGTCCTTATTACATTTGTCTCTGGCTAGGGGCATGAGCCTGGTTATCTGTGTGTTTCCCATACACTATTCTCTGTACTCAGCATAGCTCTTCTAGCCTCATATCTCTTCACCCAATAAACATAACTAGTCTCTTGAAGATAATCTAATGGGAAGAGTCACATGTCCTGGATAACATGCTGGCCTTTGTCTAGGTGTATGGTGTCATGTCAGTACTGGGCATTAGAATTTGGTTATTCTAAGCTGGGTATGTGAAACCTGGGCACTACCCCAAGTACACTGTTAGAAGGCCCCTTTTGTCATTACATTAAATCTTATACAGCTACCATATTTGTTTAGAATTCTGCAAGATACCTATCAAGGACTCCGTGATCCACAAAGAAAGTCCCATTCAAGGTTTAGTCTCACTTTGAACACTAGGTTTGGAGCTGGACTTCAAAAACCAATTCATAAAAAAGTTCCTTAACCTTGGCATTGACCATCATCTCCTGGAAGTTGGGGATGGGGCGTTACAAAACAGGAAGGTAAGGAGTAGCCATGTGTGCTATTAAGACAGGGAAGGAAGTGTTATAGCATAGAAGTCCAGTCCACAGGAAAATGTTCCATAGGTTTCCCAAGGTACCATACCAGCTATCATCTATTAAGCCAGATTAGCAATAATACAATATTATTCCCACTAATTTTTAAATAGTTTTTTCACAAGAATGTTGTTTATGTTTAGTTTTTAATAATTATTTTAATTTTCCAGTTTGCTTACAAATATGGTAGATATCTCTCTTTATAAAACCCACATAAACAGAAACTCTTTGGAATCCTCAGTGATGCTTAAGAGAGTGAAGGAGTACAACATCAAAAAGCTTCAGGACTGCAGATTTAATAGAGCTATAAAATTTGAAACTTTAAAAAAACAAAGATTAAACCCATTGTGCAATTTACTAACTTCGTGAGGTTCTGACAGTCTGAAATGCAGCTAAATAACTGTGAATTAGAAACATCTTTAATATAGCATTCCATTTTAGGATTGTGAGATTAAACAACTCTGATATGAGATATCTAAATTGTGTACCCAAGAGAGAGAAAAGGAATAATAAGCAATCCAGTTGGCCCATGGTCATAGGGTCAGATCTAATTATCTCTGTTATTTCCTTTATAAGTGTTTTGGTTCCTTTGTATGTGATTTTAGAAAAGTCAGAAGACTGATGCTCTGTAGATGAGTATGTGCTCTGGTACAACTTCCATAAAGGGCAATTTGGCAGCATCTATCAATTTTCAAATGTACATACCTTTTCACCCAGAAATGCCATTTTAGGAATTTATCTTATATTTATTTATTACAAAATGACATGTACAAGATTATTCATCACAGCATTACTTGTAATAGTGCACAAAAAACAAACAAAACTAGCCTGGATGTTCTTTAATAGGATATTGGTTAAGTAAGAAATAGTACATACTGCCCTGGCCGGTTTGGCTCAGCATTTAGAGCATCCGTCCGTGGACCATAGAGTCCTGGGTTTGGTTCCCGCTACAGGCATGTACCTCGGTTGCAGTTTGGCCCTGGCCCTAGTTGGGATCATGTGGGTGGCAACCAGTCGATGTGTCTCTCTCACATCGATGTTTCTCTCTCTCTCTTCCCCCCTCTCTCCCTCCTGCTCTATCTGAAGATAAATGCAAAAATGTCCTCGGGTGAGGATTAAAAAAAAAGAAGAAGAAATGGTACATACGTAAAATATAATGCAATTAAAAGTAAATGAAAGAAGCTTTCTATGTATGAGTGTAGAATAATCTTTAAAACTTTTTAGTGATAAAAGCATGATTCAGAGAGTAGTACAGTAAGTGATCATTTGTATGAAAAGGAGGTAAACAATATTCCAGGAGGGTGCACAAGAAACTGTTAGCATTGGTTGCCTTTAGGGAGAAAAATTTGGCAGCTGAAGGACCGGGTGGGAAAGAGATTTCACTTAATCCTCTTGTATACCTTTTTGAATTTTGAAGCATGTGGAAATATAACTTAGTCAAAAAATAAAATAAAAAACTGGTGGAACAAAAACAAAGAGATGACTTCATAGAAAAGGAAGGAGAAAAGGAAAAAAGGAAGGAGGGGGTAAAAGACAGATATACATAGAGAGATGTCTGGTGCTTCAACTGGAGCTATCGCTTTGCCTCACCATTACTGACTTCCTTTTGCTTCCTTCTCTTTTCCTCATCTAGTCTACTAATCAGACTTAAATTCCCACATGCACCAGGACAGAAAAAAAAAATACAAGATGGAAAGCTAAATTTCAGCTTTTAAATAGAAAAAAGATCCTAGAAAACATTGTTCCGCTCTGAGCCAAATATCCACCTTTCCATAGCACCAAAGACATTTTTACTTGGAAAAGAATCTATCATTTATTACCTATATCCCATTCTTGATCTTTGTGTCATTCGATCCTTGCCAACTCTGGGAAATGGGTCAATTGGGAAACTGATGTGCAAAGAGGTCAAATGGGGTCACCTACCTGGTAAATTCCAGTGCCCTCGCTAGTAAATGATGAAGCTGGGCCACTGCCCTTGGTTTGCCTGACCCCAAAGACTTGGACCTTTTCAATACCCCATATCACCTCCCTACCTGGAGTACAATGCAGGGCAGGGAGTCACAGTGCTGTTTGTTACTGTGGTGAAAGGATTGTTTCTTGACTTTGGGATTTGAAAGTATATATGCCCTCCTCTTTTCTCCTTCTCCAACTCTTTAAGAAGAGTTTTAAGTGAAAGAGTAGGAGGCAATGACAACACTGCAGTATGCATGGGCTGCAGCAGATACTGTTGAGGTCTCAAACCAGGGAGGAATGCAAATATACAGAAGTGAACTTTGGGCTGGCCATAACTTCCCTACAGGTACTAAAACATTTCTGAAGGTGTATATACCAATCAGATGAAGGGTTGGCCAGCTTCAGAAACAGGAAAGGGGGTGGCTATGGCCAGCATGTTTCCATTGTAAAGATGGGATGCACCATGATGGTGAGTTCCCACCTTTTCTTCCTAAAGTGCCCCTAATAGCTAAGAAGAGTTTGAAGGCATAGCTACAGTCATAGTAACAATAACCACTACCCTTGATAGTATCCTTCATGTGTCAGCTACTGTCCTAACTGCGTTTTGTGCTCTGGTTCAATGAGTCTTGCAACTCTTTGAGAAATAATCTTTATTGTCTTCATTTCATTGTCAAGAAAGTAGCAGCTTGGAGAAGTTAAGTGGGAAAACCTAGGTTTTAAAATCCTGGTCTTTCAAACTCCAAGCCTATGCTCTTGACGTTGCTACTGTATTACTCACCCTAAATCAGAAGCTGGCCATCACAAGCTCAAAACTTCTTTGGGGCTTCATGCTGTTCTTTAAATTAATGAAATTTTTGCACTCTAGTTAATAACACATCTGTGTGTTTTAGTGTAAAGATATATTATTTTTAATTACTAATTCAGTTATTTAACATGTTATCTCCCAAAATCTTTGGCTCCCCTAGAAAGATGTGCCAAGTTTATCCGGGGTTTTTTGTACCTCCTGGCATGTTGCAGAATAGCATAAGGGACTCTTTTTTTTTTTTTTAATTTAAATTTTTGTTGTTGTTGTTGTCACAGATGTTTCTCCTTTTTCCCCCATTGACACCCTCCTTCCAATACCCCCTTACCCCCCCCGCCCCCCTGGAATTATTGTC